TTCCATATTTTTACAGCTGGCCAAGGACTGTGAGGCTCTAAAAGCTCAAGCAACTTCCCTCTTAGGAGAGCTGAACGAGAGACGGAGCTGCCTGGAGAAAAGCGAGCATGAACGCAAAGTGTTGGAAGAAAAGTAAGCTGTCATGACGGCATAAGTGAATACATAAGGCTTCTCTGTGTTCACCTGTAGGTGTGCATGTGTGTTGACGTTTTTTCCTCTCTATCTGTGTTAGGCTGTGCAGTAAGATGAAGGCCCTGCAGGTGGCAGAGCGGGAGCTGGAGCAGCAGAGGAAGCAGCATCATGTGGCCATGGACAAGCTGCTGCTGCAGACCCAGAGCCTGGAGCAGGCCCTGAAGACCGAGAGACACGTCGTCACAGAGGAGAAGTGGGTCCAACACACAAATCATTCACATCATTATTATTTTCAGGCCTTCAAGGTGTCTGTAACAATGCAACACAGTTGTCATGCTCAATTTTCCTTCTAAAAATGTGATGTTGAATGCTTCACTGTGGTAATAAATACTTCCTGATTTAGTTCAAAATTCTTCAATACTGTTAGCAGCACATCGGATATTTGATAACAATACTGTATGGAAAAATGTTGCATCCTTTTTTTTTTTTCTCAGGAAAAAACTGACCCAGTTGCAACATGCCTACACATGTCTCTTTAGAGACTATGATTCTAAACTGAAGAGTGAGGTAAAAACACATCCAAACATCTATTTACTCAAATTACTTTTGCTATTTAGATTCTGGATTCATGTGGTAACATCTGTCTGTGTTTGTCTTCCAGGGAGGAGATCTGTGCAGCCGACTAGAGGAGGCGGAGCAAGCGCTGGCCCTGAAGCAGGACCTGATTGATAAACTGAAGGAGGAGGTGGAGCAACAGAAAGGCTCCCTGGAGACTGTTCCGGTCCTCACTGCACAGGTACAGTCACACAGCTGTGGAGCACAACTGCACACAAATCTCTTTCTTCATGGAGACTGTGTAGTTTGTTCATTTTTATCAAGCAAAGTATCGCCTCAGTGTTCACTTTAGTAAATACCAATGGACGCATCACTGTTTGTAACTGTGTGCAGTCACACAGGGCACTGCTACTGACTTCTTCCATCTATAGTCATTTGGGTCTTTAGTTGGTTTATACGACTATATTCAGCTGTAAACAACCACCTCTCTGCTAGAGGGTTGTCACACAGTGTTTTTTGGTGGTAACAGTAAATGCAGTATAATACTATGTTGTGTGAATAGGGCAAACATTAAACTAATAGATTTCACCATAGCACTTAAACATGTGACTACTGACACTAAGACATACTTTTTTTGGTATTATTAGTTTTCTGAATATGTAGGTGTGAATATGTAAATGAGGCATTGTCTTATTAAATCTGTGCTCATATGCATAAATGTCCAGAACATAAATGTGAACATTGGATAAAGCCAGGTTCAAAATTCTTGTTTCATTTTGTTGACATATTAGTCATAGGTTTTTGCAGAGGGAATTTTGGATTTTCTTTCTTCATCCTTTTTCTCCGTGTTTTTAGTGTGAATCGTGTATAAATCAGGCTATGGATGATATATGAACAAACCCCTCTGTAAACAACTTCAGAATATAGAGAGGAAGGGAACTGTAAAGTTTGTGAATGTAAGCTACTGAAGTGGAGATTTCTGGCTCAGTCTGAGAAAAAAGTAATTTTAAAGATTTGTTTAGACACAAAAACATGGTGAAAATAGGGCCCAGTTTAAAAATACCAACGTTAGCCTTTAAGCTAAGTAAACACTTGACTGGAAATCATCCTGAGCATCATGGCAGTTCATTTAGCCCGTCCTATGAGTTACTTGTCAGGTGCTAATCAGCCTGAATCAGCCGCGCCCACATTTTAACATGCTTATATAGCACAAGTACATTGAACTGAAACTAAATAGCGGCGTCTCCCTCCCTCTCTCACTGTCTTTGTGTTCCTGCAGGCTGAGATCTACAAAGCAGACTTCCTAGCAGAGCGAGAAGCCAGAGAGAAGCTGAACCAGAAGAAGGAGGAGCTGCAGGATCAGCTGACTCAGGCCCTGTCTGAGATTGACAGGCACAAACAGGAAGCCACATCACGGTAAAAACAACAAAAACAAAGTTATCTGCGAGAGGGGGGGAGAGCACAATGCAGCTCCTTTTGCATTATGATAATTATTTGTGTCCTGAATGTGGGCGTGTGGATGTTTATGCACCAGACATACAGTTTTTCTTGCTGTCATTTCTGATCCAGGGTTACATAGTCATTGTGTGCTGAATTCCTCCCCTGCCTTCTAATCAGCATTTCGAGGTGACTTTAGCTTTACTGCAGCTGTGTTTGAAGGCAGGGCTGTTGGCACATCATCCAGAATGACCCTTCATATCTGAAGTCGGAGCTAAAGCTACAACTTTGCTCTGTGTATGAAGAAATATTGATATTTCTGGACATTCTTTAAATTGTGATTACACATGACGGTTGTATTGGTCCACCTCTGTTTCAGTGCACGTATGGAGCAAATGAAGCTGAGGCACGTGGAAGACTTCCCAACGCGGGCCCCACACATTCCCCCTCCACAAGGTACATTACTGTTATCTATGCGCATGTTATTTTGAATGTATTGGTTGTAAAGTCTTTCATGCATGCATTGAAATGTCAGAGAAGCCTGTGTGGCCCCAGGTTAGAACCACTGTACTAAAGCACAGTATTTAAGTACATGTACGGTTACTTCTCACCACTGAGTATTGTCTACTAGCTGTTGTGCAGCTTACCAATGAAACTCCTGCCTATTCAAGAAAATGGCTATTTCTGGTCGACTGAAAACAAAAAAAGGGAAATAGAACTTTTTAATGGGTTTATCAAGGTGTTTATTCCTGGTAAGAAGTTGTTTTAACATAATTTCTTTCCCCGGTGCAGCTTTCAACACGGTGCCCCCTGCCCCCTCGTTCCGAAATCAGGGGTTGATACCAGTCGGTGATCAAGGGGCAGCCGGAGCTGAGGAGCTGCCAGATTTATGTTGTCCTAAGTGCCACTACCAGGCTCCAGATATGGACACGCTGCAGATACATGTCATGGACTGTATACAGTAACATGAGCATAGTTCAGCACGCCATGACGCCAACACACACAGATATATACAGTATATATATACATACAGTATATTGACGGTCCTTGTGTCTACTCTCTGCACATCCTGGAAAAACATGTTGGTAGTTGCACCTTACTCCCTCTGCCATGTAAAGAAACAAACCTGAATACATACTGTGGATCTTACCATTTTAAAAATGACCAGCATCAATCAGATGAAAGAAATAAAAGAATGACAGCCAGATAATCAGCATGGTATGTTCCCAGAGGTGCTCCGTGGATTCCAAATCTGCTGTAGCTTTTCCATTTCTGCAACCCGTCCTTTTCTCGTCATTCTTATTTCTCTTAATCACCCCCCCTCCCCCATGCCTAGCCTCTTAGATGGCACACTGATGCACCTGTTCATCAGTATATGTTTATGATCCCTGATATATCGTCCCTCCTCAACCGAGGAGGTAACTACATACTGTGCAATACGTGTGTTTGACTGCATCATCCGTTGTATACACATTAGTAATCATTGGGCATAAGGTGAAACAAGTGACAATTCAGAGGGGTACTTTTCCCTCCAAAGGAGAAAACACATGACAATGTGAATAACCTAGTGAGCTTTAAATAATATAGAATATTCAAATATGTTCTGGTCATACATGTTGCTGTCTACATTGCCTCAAAACCTGTATTATGTATTAGAGATGGATTTACTCTTATTGAAAAAAAGTAGCCATTCTCTGTTCTGTGCCTGTGTAGACCACTGCTTTATCTCTGATGCTAGACCTGACCTTTAACACAACATGGCTCTCTGTGTGCCCCTTATTCTGTCTTCTCTCTACCTGTGGCACCTAGCTATGTATCTATCCCAAGGTAAGCACATTGAGGGTCTTTTAAACTTTGTGTGAATATTGTCAGTAATTATAGATCATTTGGGGCAAAGAATCTCGTTTCAAAACTGTTGGAAGATTTACGAAATAAAATAATGAGAAATCAGTTCTTCAGTCATCCTTGAGTGTGTTTTGTCGTGCACCCATTGTCCATCCTTCCATGCCCTGGTATCCAAGAAGAGGAGAGACAACGTCCTGCTTTAGTCCAGGTTCTCGCGAGCGTCATAGGATCAAATTTGTCCAAACGGGGTCCGTTTAGGTTCACAAAAAGACGTGAGGACAGGCTCGCTTTGAGCAACCTATTGCGTGTCTGGCTGGCTGTGTCAATTAACGTAACTGCATTAAACCGTCCCTCACACTCGCAATTCATATACGCATGTGAATACATTTTTTGCAGTTTGAATAATGAAAACTGCTGGGCGTTAGTACGCGAAGATACATTTTAGGAACAACTGCAAGTTAAAAATAGTCTTATTTTAGAGACCCCCACCAAAATTTTGCAATTGAGGCTTTCACGGGGTCTGAAATACTATCAAGGGGTTGGACCCCTCAGGCCCCCCTGTGATTTACGACGATTCGGTGAAAATCACAATTGTTCTTTTAGTTTATGTTCACTTCATCTCAACGGCAATTGTCTTACATAGTTTTAAAGTTCATATCTCGTAACAGACATCATATAAATGGCAGTGATATAACTTGCTGTGTGCGAGGGCAGGTCAGATGTGACGTTTACAACCGTACTGTGCTGCGTCAAGTTGAACAGCGAGACACAAAAAGAGACCGGAAATAGTAAATTCCGCCTTCAAAGTAAGACGTATACGCCTGTATCTCATCACGACTGTGCTGTCGCTATGACTTTAATTTGCGTTTTTCCTAATGTAGTAATTCAACTCCAAATTCAAAGGCATTTGGTGTAAGTGTGCAGTCTATCCACGAATAAATTAATCCATGAATCTTGTATAGATATGCACTGTATCGATTTACACAGCGAAGGTTCTGACAGGAAGTTGCATTGGTCCGGTTTGAATTTACACTAGTCTCTTGTTTCAACCAGCGCTCGCCGGACACACGCGCCATTCATCCTTGCGTCTTTATCTGCCGGTGTACGCGACTGGCGTTGTGTGTTTGAAGTGGTCTTTAGCCAGGCATGTCAGGCTCAACTTCCCCGCCTCCCTCGGCAGAGGCTGTGGGAGCCGAGGGGTGTTTTCCCCCCGGATACAAACCTTTCAAACCCGAGGAACACGGCCTGGAGCGCGGGTTCCGTCTCACAGCGTTTTCGGACTTGAAAGGATGAGGCTGCAAGGTCCCGCAGGAGGCTCTGCTCAAACTCCTGGCGGGACTGGAGGCGGACCGGGCCGACGGGACAGGGAAGGCCGGAGACCAAGCATCAGAGTTCGGCCAACAATTGTCCGGCCCTCGACTCGGTAAGAAACAAAGTCGGAATTAGCAGAGCTAGCTCCCATGTCAGAAACCCTGGTGGTTAATGTCAGTAATCTAGCGTAACTGTTGCTAACAATGTTAGCTTGTGTTAAGTCATATGGCAGCTCATATGACAGATGGGCAGCTATGGGTGAATAAAGACTATTTGTTTAAGTCCTAAGCTATTAAATGTGTTAACATATAAACTAATTACAGTGTTAAGTTATTAATGAGCATAAAATATGCAATAGATCACGTTAGTAACCGCGCTAACTAGCTAAGAGGACACAAGTTACGCGAGTTGTCAAGTTACCATAGGTATGATTCAGCAGAAATATTTCGATGCGTTCAGTGCAAAGTTCACGCTTTTGGTCAAACATTTCCACTAGTAAAAGAGTTTCACAATATTGAGTGGAAGTGCTGTTTAGTTTACTGCTTTTAGAGGCGTAGCAATAGTATGAGGACAGCTTTGTATGTAGCTAACTACTGAGTGACCACAAACACAAACTCCAGCATTGAAACGCAATTTCATATAACCGTCATTCAAAAAATACTACCTTTAGTAAACAACACCGCCACTAGTACACATACAAACTAATAACGCAGTATTCTCACACTCAACAAAATAAAATACACCAACTAATAATACTAAGGAGTTCGTAATTATTGCAAGGCTGTTGTATTTCATTGCAAAACATTGTTTCAGGTGTAGGGATGGACTGCTGTGTGATTCCTCTGCGGCATGGCGGGCTCTCCCTGGTCCAGACCACAGACTTCTTCTACCCTCTGGTGGAGGATCCCTACATGATGGTGTGTTTTCCTTTGTGATGCACTCTCATACGTGGGTTTTTATTGCCTTTTTCCCCCTTGCCCTAAAAGAACTGCACTCTTAAGCAATATGTACAATATGTAATATCTGTTCAATATGTACAGTATAGCAACAGTAATCGGCTGCACAATGTGAACCTGATTTGTGCGTAAGTCATCTGCACTTTGAGCTTGCTTTACATAAGCAATATGGATTTTAATGTTTTCACGCCGCTGCATGTTGGAAAACTGTGGCCGAAGGCACGATGTTCTCGGGTTGTCTTTACATCCCGCTCTCGTGAGCGCAATATCTCAGCAACACCTGGAAGGAATATTTTCTAATTTAGCACTGCTGGACTCAAGGATGAACTGATTAGAGTTTTGAGGTTAAAGGTCATGTTCACTGTGATCTCAAGTCCCTCCCCCTTCATATCTTATCAACACCTTGCCTGTTTTGACTAGTTTTCTGCTCTCTGTCACATTCTCTGTCTATCTGTCTGTCTCAGGGCAGGATAGCGTGCGCTAATGTCCTCAGTGATCTCTACGCCATGGGCATCACGGAGTGTGACAACATGCTGATGCTACTGAGTGTCAGCCAGAAGATGAACGACAAGGTAGCATTATGTGTGTTCCTGGGTGGACACTTTGCTTTCATTCATCGATGTTGCGTCTCCTCTACTAATCTAGTTGGGAGACGCGTTACAATGAGTGCATTATATGTTTGGAAGTGAATTTTGACTTGTGGATTTTACACATATATATATATATATATGTGGATTTCTTCGAGGTGAAGTAGGGTGTTCTATCATGATTCACGGCTGTCTGTGTGTGCATGTATGGCACAGGACCGTGAGCGGGTGATGCCGCAGATGATTCAAGGGTTCCGTGATGCAGCAGAGGAGGGGGGGGACTTCTGTGACAGGTGGCCAGACCGTGATCAACCCCTGGATCATCGTGGGAGGAGTCGCATCCGTCGTCTGCCAGCCTAATGAGTTCATCATGTGAGTCCGTTAAACAGTCGCTGTGTCTCTGCATCTTTGGTAACTTGTAACAATGAAAGGCTCTCATTCTTTGATATCTCGTGTTATTTAGTGATGAGGCATTTAAAATCCCCTTTTTCGTGTACACACACCTTGCCTCATGTAAGTTGAACTTCAGTTAGAGATGTCTTAGGTTTCCCAGAATGCATTTCATCAGCCCGTACCTGAATGTAGTGGACCTTGTTGATTTCAGCCAGAAGGGGTTGTATAGAAATAATGAAAGCCTGCTTTGTTGGTATTATTCTGTGTTGATGACAGCTGCCACAGCCTCAACACTAACTCAACATGTCCCTCTGATCTATAGACCTTTGTCCACAGTGGACATTTAGTGAAGTTTATTTATTTAGACCCATTTACAGTTTGTAAACAACGTAGGTAAGTGTGTGCACGCAGTCTGCAACAGAAGTTCAGCAAAGTGCAATAGCTTGTCAAACTATGGAAGGACGTTAACCACCACAGACGGCCCTGCTTGCCGTGTATTATTCCTGCAGTGGATGACCTAATCAAATTATACTTGGCAAAAAGGAAATTCTCGTGAATTTTGCCTAGAATCAACAAATGATCAGAAGCAGACATTACTGAATAAGGCCAACATACTATTTTAGCTTTTTTGTTGTTGTAAATGTACCACTTTACTCTCAGGGCATAGCCAAGTGTATTTAGAAACAACATGCATACTGATCAAGGAAGGCATTAACTGGCCCATTGAAGGACTCCACCTCTTTATTAATCAGGGCTTTTAGTTGATATGTAATATGCTCCATCTTGTTTCTCAGGCCGGATGGTGCTGTTCCAGGGGACGTCCTGGTTCTAACCAAACCTCTGGGGACGCAGGTGGCTGTGAATGCTCACCAGTGGCTCGATCAGGTCAGCCATGGCTCCGCTCACATGAACAGTATCGTGTGTTATATCGTTTCTACCTTTAGTCGTGTTGTCATTATATTGACCAGTTTCTGTGCTCTCACTCCTCACACTCCTGTCTCTGTTTTTACAGACTGAAAAGTGGAACAAGATCAAGCTAGTCGTCACAAAAGAGGAAGTCAAAGAGGCCTATCAGGAAGCCATGTTCTCCATGGCAACGCTCAACCGCACAGGTACACTGTGCTCTGTTGCTCTGCAGTTATCACTGGTCACAGATATGTACCGACTCTTTCAATTACAAGTGAGGGATGCTTTAATGGCTGGTTCTATGTGGTTCTGCACCACTTATCTGAGTTTACTCTCAGCCTCATGGTCTTTACTTTAGTTGTGAGTGGGGTTGGACCTGTGTAAACATTTTCAAAGCAGTTATTAAGCCGAACACTGGACCGGTGTACCAAATTCTACCACTAAGTGTTGCACTTGGCAGCGGCTCCTAAGTAAACCATAATGAGACTGAAGCCCGATTACAATCCATCCTGACCCGCCACATGGTTTGTTCCAAAGAAACATCTGAGAAACCGTCATTGGAAACTGAACTTTCAAAAAAAAAACAAAAAAAAAAAAAACGGGGAAAGTGAACCATCTGTCAATCAAACTCTTACAGAGCGAGAAAAAAAACTTCTGATGCTATTGCAGCATCTAGTAGGAACAGTCTCATCTCTGTGCTGTCTCACACGTGGTCAGTAAGGGCAGCTGGCTGGCAGCATGATGGAGGGTTTTATAACCCACCTCCACTCCTCACTAATTAGTAAGATCAGTCCACCTGGTGGCGCTCATGCACCACTAAGCTACTTTGCCAAGAATCAATAAACACAAATAAGTTGACTGAACATGCATTGGCCTATTTGGTTTCGTCCAGTTGAAATCTTTCTGTGACTTTTTGTTGTGATCCAAGTTTCTGAAGTGAATTCATGTCTCCAGCGGCAGGCCTAATGCACAAGTTCCAGGCTCACGCTGCAACAGACGTGACAGGTTTTGGGTTGTTGGGACACGCAAACAACCTGGCATCACAGCAACGGAACGAGGTGGCCTTCGTGATCCACAACCTACCAATCTTAGCCAAGATGGCTGCCATCAGTAAAGCCTGTGGAAACCTGTTCAACCTAATTCAGGGCACCTCAGCTGAGACTTCTGGTATGAAAACTGAGATCAACTGTTGTCTGTATTTCTATATAAAGTAGACCATATATTATTCAAACAAGTGTTGACCTGAAATCCATCCCCTCTCCTCCCCTGCAGGCGGGCTGCTGGTGTGTCTACCCAGAGAGCAGGCGGCCAAGTTTTGCTCGGAGATGAAGAGCCAGAGCTCAGCAGCTGGAGGTCAGGGGGCGGCGGGTGGAGCGTGGATAATCGGAATCGTAGAGAAAGGCGACCGCCGCGCTCGCATTATTGACAAGCCCCGCATTATCGAGGTTCCACCACGAGGAAGCCAGGCAGCCAATCAGGATAACAACTCCGCCAGCCCCGCTCCCAGCCCCAATCTGTCATAGACTGTGTGTGTGTGTGTGTGTGTGTGTGTGTGTGTGTGTGTGTGTGTGT